GCGCCCTTCGATCGCTCCCTCCCTCCCGAGAGTCGCCGCCGCCGCCGCCGCCGCTCCCGCCGCCATTTTGGGTTTGCTTTGCGGAGGGGGAGACGATCCCCGTCTCGGTTGCGGGACCCGCCTCCCTTCGGTTTCCCCCCTTTAGACTACGCCTTTCGCTTCTCCTCTCTCGCCTTTCCGCCAGTCCGCTCGCCCGCTGGCCGCCTCCTGACAAGCGGGAGGGATAAGGTGTGGAGCACGGGAAGCCGAGGCTCCTGGCTGCCACCCCCTTTCCCACTTCCCTGCTCTCATCGCTCTCGGCCTCTCGGTGAGTAGAGCGCTTTGAGCAGGCCTTTGAAGGCCCAAGTACTCTCCTTGGCTTCATGTGATCTACTGTCATCTCTCGGACCTGGATCTCCGGGAGAGCGGGGCATGGATGGGGGAGGGGAGAGGAGGGAAAAAGGATCCTGAGAGCTTACCGGGAAGTCCCTCCAGGCGGGGGTGAAGGGGTGTCCCTGACAGGCGGGCTCTTAACTTGGGGGATGGGGACGGGAAAGTAAGCGAGTGGAGGCGGAGTAGGCTGTGCCCCTGACAGGTTAGTTTGTAAACGTAGGCCTGATTGGAACATCTCCCAGGATCCAGTTTGTTGGTTTAAGGGACAAAAGTGGCAAGGGAGATGATCTTCATAGGGTAGTTTACCTGCACGACAAGATCCTTGGTGTTCCTTACATTCAGAACTAGCTATATGCAGAAATGACATAGTGGTCTCAGTGGTAGAAGTTTAATGTCACTGGTGAGTTTGTACACAAAAAGAGTTTTGGTCTAGAAGACCAGATGGTGATGGTCTGCTGGTTTATAGCGGCTGTGTTTGTGTGTGTACGTGCAAGGATGAAACGTGTCCTGGAAGAGTTTTTCTGCGTTTGAGTTAGTGTAATGGAGTTCCCTTTATAAGTTAGCTTATTATTATTATTTTTTTTGTTTTTTTGTCTTTTTGAAGCAGGGTCTCCCTGTAGCTCCAGCTGTCCTGGAACTCGCTATGTAGACCAGGCTGGCCTTGAACTCAGAGAGATCCGCCTGCCTCTGCCTCCCAAGTGCTGGGACTACAGGCATGCGCCACCACGTCTGGCATAAGTTAGCTTATTTTAAGAATAAATGTTGGAATGTGCCTTCCAGGTTGCTTACGTGTACATGTGTTCCGTGTACTAGATAATATAGCACGTATGCTAGGATCAGTGAAGGGAGAAACTTGGCATAGACAGTGGTGGTCTTTCCAGTACTTTGTGCCTTTGAATAGAGTCAGTTGTGTAAATATTGAAGGCTCAGAATAATTGCTACCAGGCTATAAAGAATGGAGGGAGGGCTGGTGGTGAGGATTTGTGGTAACACCTGTATATTAGCATAAGGCTTTTATATTTAGAATGCTCTTTCAGTTTCTTTGTGATCCTAAATCTCTGTGAAATGATAGGAAAATAGAAAATTGAGGCATAAAGAGATAACTTTTCCAAGGTCACATGTTAAATTAGTGACAAAGTTGGGACTATATGATATTTTGACTACTAATTTACTTAATATATTGTCCGTATTATAGTGCCTCAGGAGATTATTATTGGCAAATACAAGGGTATTTGGAAAGAGGGGGGCATTATGGTTAGATTATGTTTGGAAGACACTAAAGTGTCAAATGTGTATGTAATAAACATGGTCCTGGTCTGACCTGTATGAAATGGGTTTGTGACTATTTTGTGTTTCTGGAGGAGGGTGAGCATTTCTGACATTTTAGCTTGTGTGTATGAAAGATGGAAAGTATCTGTATGTATACTAGCAGAGATATTAGGGGGGGCAGAGGTTCTGGGGATTGAAACCAGATCTGGAACACTCAATAAATGATCCCTACCTTGGGATGAGAGTAATCATAATATGCTACTTTTGAAATAGCTTGGGTGCATATGAGAGATGTTCATACTAAGTTGAGTGAACAAATTAAAAGCAGAAATCCTCCTTTAAAAGCCTATTCAGACTGGGTGTGGTGGCTCACACCTGTAATCTCAGCATTCTAGAGGATCAGGAGTTCAATCCCAGCCTATGTTTGTGGCCAGCCTGGGCTACATGAGACCTTATCTTTCAAAAAGAAAACAAAAGTCCTGTTTAATTTGAAGACAGTTTAGGACTTCTGGACAATGAAGAAGGATACAGGACTAAGAATTCAGCTGGAACTGGGCATGGTGGCATATACCTTTTATCCGAACACTCAGGAGGTGGAGGCAGGTAGATCTGTTCTACATAGCAAGTTCTAGGCCAGCTGGGGCTACATAGTAAGACCCTGTTGTTTGTTTGTTTCTCTCTCTCTCTCTCTCTCTCTTTTTTTTTTTGAATTCAGTAGGATGATCAATTTGAAATAGAATACTTTTTTCCTTTCTTTCTTTCTTTCTTTTTTTTTTTTTTGTTGCTCTTTTTTGCTTTTTTGAAACAGGGTGTCACTCTGTGGCCCAGACTGGCCCTGAACTCATTATATGGCCCAGGCTTGCCTCAAAGTTGAGGAGTACAATCTTCCTGCCACAGTCTTCTGAGTGCTGGGATTATAGGCATGAGCCAACATGCCTGAGTTCTTTGGCATTTTCTTTTTGGCATTTAAGAGTAAACTGTTTTTGGAATCTGTGAATTATTGATATGTTCCTTTGGATATTGGAACTTCTTGGCTGACAGTAGGAATTCTTTGAAAGGCTAATTTTGTGTGAAGGATCCCCTCTATGAATATGGAAAAAGAATGTTTAATTCAACTATATTTTGAGTTTTTTGTATTTTTGAGACAGGGTCTCCCTACAGCCCTAGCTGGCCTGGAATCTCACCATGTCTGGCTTGAACTTGGGGTGTTTTTTTAGGCAAGATTAGTGGTGCTTTTTTCTTTTTAGTCACTTATCCTTCTGAAAATCTGATGAAAGGCAAACCTAACATTAGAAAAGGAACATCAGTCCAATCACATGAATTATGTATATAATTTCAGGAGCTTAAATTGTAATGAAATAGAGCCAATTTATATTCAGGTCATGTTTGAGACACCCACCCTTGCCCTTACATTTTGTTATGGAGTAGAGATGCTGGTATGAGTTAAAAGTAAAAGACTCCATGAGAGTATCTGAATACAGGAGAACTTTAGGATTAGTGTTTTAAATTTACCTTAGAGCCAAGCATGGTGACTCATGCCTGTAAGCATTTGGGAAGCTGAGGCTGGAAGATAATTAGGGGTTTGAGGTTAACTTAGGCTACATAGTGAGTTCTAGGCCAGCCTGGGCTATAGTGTGAGACCCTATTTCAAAAAACCAAATAGGAAGAAAGACAGAATATATCTGCACAGTTCATTTCTCAGTGTTAATAAAGAATCTGAGTTATATTTGATAAGGATATATAGTATAGCACAAGCATCTATAGCGTCATTGTTTTTCAGTATCTTCTCAGTCTCGAAAAATGGGCTTTTTTTTTCCAATCGTACATTGAGACTGAGATAATTCAAAGATTTTCTCCCTCCTCATGTTTTTGAAATTTTGCTTAGTTATAACCTGTCACATATGTGGTCTGTTTCCTTAGAGATTCTAAACCAGTTGTATTTATGACTTGCATGATGGAGGGCTCTTCAGACTAGGAGGAGGGGTTGTGACTTTATGACTTAATTGGCCTTGAACTCACAGAGATCCGCCTGCCTCTGCCTCCTGAGGTACTGGTATTAAAGGCATGTGCCACCATGCCCAGCTGCAAAGAGTTTTTTATTTTTTTATTTTTTAAATTTTATTTATTATTTTTATTTTATGTGTGTGCGTGTATTGCCTGCATGTATGTGAGTGCATCCATGTCATGCAATACCTGAGGAGGTCAGAAGAGGGCACTGGATCCCCTGGAACTGGAGTTATTGGACAGTTGTTAGCTGCCATGTGGGTGCTGGGATTCGAACCTGGGTCTTCTGCAAAAACAACCAGTGTTCTTAACTGCTGAGCCATCTCTAGCCCCTGCAAAGAGTTTTTAAAAAAAATATTTTATTATTTTTTATTTTGTGTATATGAGTGTGTTGCCTGCATCTGTGTTGTGCAGTGCCCACAGGGGTCAGAGGAGAGCTTTGGATTCCTCTGGAACTGGAGTTATGGACAGTTGTTAGCTGCCATATGGGTGCTCGGAATTGAACCCAGGTCCTCTGTAAGAGCAGCTAATGCTCTTAAGTGCTGACCCATCTCTTCAGCCCCTGCACAGACTTTTTGTTGGTATTCTTTTTTTCAATTGAAAAATTATTATTGTGTGGGGGTGGGTGTGCTTGCTATAGTACACATGTGGAGGTCAATGCTTAGTAGATATATTCTTGGCGTTATTTCATTATGCATATGTCATCTGCATGTATAGTATGTACATACATACTCATGTGATTTGTATGTGTATCTTACCCCTTGTATAAACGATAACTTCACAATTTTTTTTTTTGCAGTAGGAGCTCACTTTGTAGCCCAGGCTAGCCTGGAATTCACAATGTAGCCTATAGTATCCCTCAAACTTTCCTTGCCTCAGCTTCCCATCTCAGCCTCCCAGGTATTAGAATTAGAGACCAGAGCCACCATGAGCTTCTTACTTAGAAGGACCACCTGAGCCCGTGAGTTTTGGGTTAACCTGAGCAACATTAGTGAGAGCCTCAAAATCAAAACATAAATACTTGCAATACAAAATGTGATTCAGGTTCTTAAGGTTCAATAATAGAAAAAGACCCAGATAATCCCAGCACTTGGGAGGCTGAGACAGAGGTTCAGGGCCTACTGGGCTACATAGTGAGACCCTGTTTCAAAACAAGAATAGAAAAGGATTTTAATGTCCTAAAGTTGTTTAGGTAGTTGTATCTTAAAATACATGGCATAATTTCTAAATATCTTGTTGGGTATTGACTTTACAGTATTAGCAGTTTGTGATGGCATTATTCTAAATTTTCCTTTATGCTTCTACTGTTTTGTTAATAGAGAATTTGTTCACTTTTATTCCTGTTCATGTGTTTGGGTGGTGATTTCCAGTAAGATAATTTCATGTTGTGTAAGTTTTTGGTCTGAGTGTTTTAAAGGCAATATAGAGATTTAATATCTGCTGCGAGGCCTCCTCTCAGCCTTTCCAGTACCATGAGCTACTTTTTTCTTTTTTTTGAGCTTTTTGAGACAGGGTCCCCCTGTAGCCCCAGCTGTCCTGGAACTCATTATGTAGACCAGGCTGGGCTTGAACTCACAGAGATCTGCCTGCCTCTGCTGGAATTAAAGGCATGTGCCACCGTGCCTGGCCTAACATGAGATACTTTAAAACGTGGTTGCCACA